TCAGCCCCTTCGTATACTTAGATAGTGAAGAAAATGTTCAAGCATAATGAAGAATTTAATGACGTTTAGTGTTTTATTGCTTGAAGACGGTTGCACTTTTGAGATAAGCAAAGTCCATGCACGACCTAGGATGTGGGTCGTGGGCAAAGTGCATTGATCCACTAATATCACCAAGTATTGGGTATATTAGTGCGAAGGGTAATGTTGACTATATATTTTGTATAAGCCAATCCCAACTTAACACGTGGCATGTAAAGGGTAATTTGGGAAGTTAATGTGAAATTCCAATCAGCAATAGACAAGTAACAATTCATATTGGTAATAATAGATCTATGAAGCATTGGAGCAGCTAGAAAGCGCAAAACGACGTGGCCTAACGGTTACTCACAAATTCAAATTCAAATTTAGAAGAGATCATGGGAGGACCTTTCGACAATTGGAAGCCCATTTCGACGGTTACCTTTAAAAAGTATAAATAGAAGAGAAGACCCCAGAATGAAGGACCCAGACTCAGACCAAAAAAACAGTCGTTTACTTCATATTTTCTTTCTAGTTTTACATTTCCAGTTCTTTACATTTCCAGTTCTTTACATTTCTAGTTCTTCAATTCTTATATTGCACTTCATTTCCTAGGAGTAGTTTCACGTAGTCACTGCAGTAAACCTTTTCAAGGCTGGGTCATTTCATTGTAAGTTCTTATTTACTTAACGAAATTCAGTTTCTAAACTATTTTGTATATGTGATCATTTATAAGTTTCTCTTAAAAAGTCACCATTAAAAGTCCTTTTCATTGAGGCTAAAAGAACTGCAACACAATTGTCTGATAATTGGTTGGTAATTAAAATTCTGTGAGGACTTATTGATCTTTACTGGCACGCATTAAATTACATAATTAACCTTCGAAAGCCAAAAAAGCCAACAATTACATTTGGAAAAAGTATATTAATGTGTTTTTTTTTAGTGATACGTTGTTATATTTGGAAAAAGTACACAAATGAGTTTTTTTAATATTTTATATGAGAGTGTTACATTGGTATTACATTATTGGAGTATTACATTTTTTTTTTCTTTTCGTAATGTGGGATTTGTTCTAAGAGAGAAAATCCAAAACCTTTATAATTCTAATTGCCCAAATGTATAATTATACATTTAGAGAAACCCACTTTTATCCTTGGAAAATTAAATCCAAACAAGTAAGTGACTACATTTTTGTGTAATTTTCATTTTAATAGGACGTTTGGATTCATAAGAGAAAAGTAAAGATTAAAGAGTTGATAAAATCATATTTTAAGATTTATTGGTGTTTCACTCAATTTTTTATTAGTCTGAAATAATGAATTTTATATCTAAAAAGTATATTGAACTTACCTTAATTGTGTAGATATTTCTGTTTTTCATCAATTATAAAATGTTGTATTATTGACACATTTTTTATAAGTATAGAATAATGAGACATAACATTTTGAGTGTGATTATTATATTTTTTAAAAGAAAATGTTATTTATATATAAAATTTAATATCAATTTAGTGAGTATTTTATTTTAAAATAAAATAATTTATATTAAATCACATAATTATGTATAAAATTTTTATATGCATAGTTAAGAAAATCATTTTCAGATATATATGAGCTGATGAGTTGGAAATCCGTCAGCACGCAACACGGTTAGTGATTCCTTCTGTTGGATTGAATGGATTCGCAAATCATGAGGGTAAACTTCTCACGACTTTCCTAAACTGCACTGTTCTTCAATAAGCGCGCCACCTGTCCGTTGGATCAATTCCACGAACAGCTCTCATCTCCTTTTTGTCAGCTAAGAAAATATTGGATTGGGTATAGTATAGTTAGTTCCACCCATAAGAGTCAAACCAATTCACCATCACCATCACAACCACCTCCTTTTAAATATTTTATTTTTTGTTTTCACATTGGGCATCTCCTTTTTTATTTTTATTTTTTTTATTATGTCATTTGACATTGTTGCCCCTAACTTCATTATCCAAATTAAAAGGCTCTTTTGTGTGTTTGTGAGTGTTATAGAAGCATGGTTTCAATTTGGGCAAAGGAAAATTGTGAAGGAAACTAAGGGCTAGTTTGAAAAGACTAAATGAATGTATTTTTTAATTTTTTATGAAATATGGATTGAGTTTGGGTTAGGTTTGAAGTGATGTGTTAGAGAGGTGATGCGACTTAAATAAGATGATGTGACTTAAATAGGATAGTGATTTTTTGTCTTTTTTCAATCATGCCAAACTTGGCCTAAGTTAAGTTTTTGGTTAAAATAGTTTTAAAAAATCAAAGTATTAACATTATTTTCTTTATTTTTTTACATATTTTTTTTTTGTAAAAAATTAAAAAAACTAACTAAAATAACTAATTTCTAAACAAACTCTAATTATGAGTACAATATTGGACCTCTTATTTCTCAAACAGCAGAATAGTAAAATGTTCACATAATCACTCATGTTTGGTGCAACTTATAAAGGCTGTTGATAAGTTTTCCTTTTAAAAATTTTTAAATTTGTATTATAGTATTTGATGCAATTTACTTTATAGTTTATGCGGTAGAAATAATTAAAAAATGATTATCTCAAAGTTGGGTTACATTTGTTTTCTAATTTAAATTTGGAAAAAAAAAATGCACCAAACAGGGAGCAATACTAGAGGTATTTAAATTTTTTTACCTAATATATATTCATATACCTTATGTGTGAGAGGGAGTAAAATAGTAAATAAAATTTTAGTTACACTAAGTATAGAATAATGAGACATAACATTTTGAGTGTCATTATTATATTTTTTAAAAGAAAATGTTATTTATATATAAAATTTAATATCAATTTAGTGAGTATTTTATTTTAAAATAAAATAATTTATATTAAATTACATAATTATGTATAAAAATTTTAAAATAAGTCATATTAAATTAAATAATTATGTATAAAATTTTTATATGCATAGTTAAGAAAATCATTTTCAGATATATATGAGTTGATGAGTTGGAAATCCGTCAGCACGCAACACGGTTAGTGGTTCCTTCTGTTGAATTGAATGGATTCGCAAATCATGAGGGTAAACTTCTCACGACTTTCCTAAACTGCACTGTTCTTCAATAAGCGCGCCACCTGTCCGTTGGATCAATTCCACAAACAGCTCTCATCTCCTTTTTGTCAGCTAAGAAAATATTGGATTGGGTATAGTATAGTTAGTTCCACCCATAAGAGTCAAACCAATTCACCATCACCATCACAACCACCTCCTTTTAAATATTTTATTTTTTGTTTTCACATTGGGCATCTCCTTTTTTATTTTTATTTTTTTTATTATGTCATTTGACATTGTTGCCCCTAACTTCATTATCCAAATTAAAAGGCTCTGTTGTGTGCTTGTGTGTGTTATAGAAGCATGGTTTCAATTTGGCAAAGGAAAATTGTGAAGTAAAAGCCAAATTTGGCATCGTTCAAAAAATTTAAAAAGTCAAAAAGTTACTATCCTATTTAAATCACATCATTTTATTTAAGTCACATCACCTTTCTAACACATCACTTCAAACCCAACCCAAATCCAACCCATATTTCATAAAAAGTCAAAAAGTGCACTTATTTAGTCTTCCCAAACTTAGCCTAAGCTGAATTTTTGATTAAAATAGTTTTAAAAATTCAAAATATTCACATTATTTTCCTTATTTTTTTACATTTTTTTTTTTTGTGTAAAACGTTAAAAAACTAACTAAAATAACTAATTTCTAAACAAACTCTAATTATGAGTACAATATTGGACCTCTTATTTCTCAAACAAAAGAATAGTAAAATGTTCACATAATCACTCATGTTTGGTGCAACTTATAAAGGCTGTTGATAAGTTTTCCTTTTAAAAATTTTTAAATTTGTATTATAGTATTTGATGCAATTTACTTTATAGTTTATGCGGTAGAAATAATTAAAAAATGATTATCTCAAAGTTGGGTTACATTTGTTTTCTAATTTAAATTTGGAAAAAAAAAATGCACCAAACAGGGAGCAATACTAGAGGTATTTAAATTTTTTTACCTAATATATATTCATATACCTTATGTGTGAGAGGGAGTAAAATAGTAAATAAAATTTTAGTTACACGTAACATTATTGACAAACAAAGCCATTTTTGTCATCATTTTGACCTATATATATATATATATATATATTCCAACTTTTTTTGTGGCGATTCACAGTACAATACAAATGAATGCATGTTATTGCTGTGTACGAGGAACTCATAAAAATTTAGTACTAATGATAATTTATGAGCAAATTATAAATACACTTTTTAAAATTTCTTTAAAATATAAGTTGTCTTTTGTGATTTGAGAAATCTTATGAGGATTTATTTGGTAAATTAAGTTAGATGTGATGAGTGTGATGAAATTGAGTGATAAGATTATTAAGATAATGATATTAAATTGGATATATAAGAAAAAAAAATGTGTTTATTTGTAACTAACCTATGAAATTATGTAAAAGTCATCATCACATAAAAAGTGATCATTTTTTAAATAAATTATAAATACACTCCTAAAAATTTGTTTAAAATGCGAATTGTCTTATGTGATTTAAAAAATTATAAATATCTTTTTATTAATATTTTTTATTTAACAAATTAATTAAAAAAATAAAATTACTAACTACTCTTCTAAATAATAATAAAATTATTAATTAAAATATATTTTCAACATCATTATTTTTTTAAAATTTTCTAAAGGAGTGTTTGAAAGTTAGTTTTTTTAACTATTTAAAAAATAAATAAAGATTAAAAAAATAGAAAGAATAATTGACAAGAAGCGCCACGATACGGTGGGGGGCATAATAGACATTTGAAATGAGCGGTGCACCCAAAATTCGCGGGTCAAAAAATTGATAAGAAACGCCACGAACTTAAAACACGGATGTGCCACATATATGACTCACTCCACTTTGAGTCGTTTCTTTGACTGTCTACTACTACAGACAGACACACCACCACGCACACACACCTCTCTTCTCTTCCCTCTATTTATTTCTCCACTGAAACACCACACCACACAACACGACACAAAACAAAATCGAAAAATTCGAACGTTATAGAACCGCCACAGAGAGAGAAATGTCTTGTACCGTTGCAATCTCGAACTCACCTGTGTTCTCTCCGTCTAGGGTTTGTTCTTCTCCTTTCTGCAAATCCTCACTCTCATCTTCCCCAGATAAAACCCTTACTCTAACCCTAACCCTCTCGCCTTCTTCTTCTTCGCCGTTTAGGCTTCGGCTACAGAAGCCTCCGAGCGGGCTTGATAGGGCTTCTAACGATTGTGCGGTTTCGACTTCGTCTTCGTCTTCTTCTCCGCCGGCGCTGTTGAAGAGGAAGAGGCCGGCGAGGCTGGATATTCCGAATTCGGGAATGGGTTTTGGTGGTGGTTGTGTGGCGACGCCGGTGGTGGGAGTGGAGAGGAGGGAGGTTGTGGAGGCTGAGAGTGATGGGTATTCGGTGTTTTGTAAGAGGGGAAGAAGGGAAGCCATGGAAGATAGGTACTCGGCCCTCCTCAATCTTCAAGGAGATCCCAAACAGGTATTTTAATTTTAATTTGAGTTTTTTTTTTTTAATTTAAACTTAGATTACACAAGTGAAATTCGTGAGTTTTATTGATTGAATTGTGCTGGAGAATGTTGAAATTATGAGAAATGTTCAAGTCTGTTTGGTTTCATTTTCTAAAAAACACTAAAAACTAATTTGGTTGGTTTAGTTGGGAGGATTTGACTGTACCCTCTGGGTGGGGTTGTTTGGTTACATAGTAAACTGAGAAAATTCGAGGTAGTTAGTGTAATCTCAATTAAAACACTATGATTGAGCTTTGTGACTTAAGTATTAGTCTTTTCTTTTCCTTCTTCTTTTTTTTTTTTTTTTTTTTTTTTTTTTTTTTTTTTTTTTTTTTTGTGATTTCTAGGTCAATTTTAACTGAGCAAGTATTGGATAAGCATTTTACTTGAATTCTACAGATTTATTTATTTATTTATTTTTATTTTAAAAACCATAAAGGAGTCTAGATTGGTTTATCCTGCTCTCACTGAACTCCATGGGAATCCACAGAATTTTGAAATTGCTGCTAGTAATTAATTAGCTAAATAAGATGTTATGGAGTTCATGCTTTGAGAGCTGAGACATGAAATGAAGTACAAAAACTTAGATAATTGTTTTTACGACGGAGTCTGAATCAAATGTAGTTGCTAAAGGATGTCGCTCATCTTATGTATGAATTGAGGAGTCTGATCTTCTTGTCTTTTGTTTGTAGGCCTTCTTTGGTATTTTTGACGGGCATGGAGGTGCAAAGGCTGCCAAGTTTGCAGCAGAAAACTTGGATAAGAACATTTTGGATGAACTTGAAAGAAGAGACGAAGAAGATACAGAGGAAGCTGTTAAATTTGGGTATCTGAACACAGATTCTGAATTTCTAAAGGAAGATGTCAGCGGTGGAACATGCTGTGTCACAGCTCTGATCAGGAACGGCAGTCTTGTTGTGTCCAATGCTGGGGATTGTCGTGCTGTAATGAGCAGAGGAGGGATTGCCAAGGCCCTTACATCGGATCACCGGCCTTCAAGGGACGATGAAAAAGCGAGAATTGAGAGCTCGGTAAGCTGCTAGTGTTTTATCATAAGCAATTCTTTTTGTGCTCAATTTTTTTAGTTGAAATTCAGCTAGGCATTTGAACTTGTTGCTGATGGATTGTGTATATGATTTTGTAGGGTGGCTATGTCAATTGTTGTAATGGTGTTTGGAGAATTCTGGGATCTTTGGCTGTATCGAGAGGAATCGGAGATCGACACCTAAAACAATGGGTAACAGCAGAGCCAGAAACAAAAATCTTTAGAATTGAATCCGATTTGGAGTTCTTAATCCTTGCTTCTGATGGCTTGTGGGATAAGGTAATTTATTTCAAATTAATTTCATTTCTGTTTTTCGCTTCTGATACACTTGCCAGATAAAGAACTTTTTGTTTTGATCAACCCTTATTTCGGTTGGATTGTAGGTTAGTAATCAAGAAGCAGTAGATATAGCTCGTCCTTTGTGCATGGGCATCCCAAAGCCAGAACCGCTTACAGCCTGTAAAAAGCTTGCTGCTCTCTCTGTTTCACGAGGCTCTACTGATGACATTAGTGTGATGCTGATTCAATTGGGACACTTTTATTGATAGCACAAGGCCGTTACTGTAAAATAGAAATCAAGAAGCAGCATTGATGTTGCTCTTCTTTTGTGCATAGGTAACTAAAATCCAAAACCGCTCTCAGCCTCCCTCCCTTGCTTCACGAGGTTCGATTGGGACATTTTTTTTTGATGATCCCAGGACACTAGTATAATCATTAAACTAGAATCCGACACAGTTTTAAGGACATTTGTCTTCTCTTCAGAGTAAATTGCAATATGCAAGGTTATGGCAATTGATGCTGTTGACGGCAGAAAGGCTCCAGTATACAAAGCGTTGTTACCGGACTAGTTTTGCAGGAACTCTTACACTGGCTATTTATACAACTGTAACCTCTGATCTGTAATTTTTTCTTCTCTTCTCCTCTTTTTTATTTTTTATTTTTTTTGGTACTAACCTGAATTTTTTCTTTTCTTTTCTTCTATCAATTGGTTTTTTTACTGTAAATTATTTTTCTTTAATTATACAAGATTCGTGTTGGCTCAGTATTCTGATTGTGGAGCAATTGTTTAAGACTTTAGGCCCCGTTTGTTTGGAGTTATAGGAAGGGGATGGGACTACTAATACCTTAGTATTACTAATACCTTGTTTGTTTTGAGAGATAGCCTTGGGACTAATACCTTGGTATTATTAATACCTTTGGAAGGGGGATACATAATGAGGAGGTAGAGATAGTATTAGAAAAATAGTAAGCGGATTAGAAATTTTTATTTTTTTTTATTTTTTATATATTGGAAAATTTTTTTAAAATATTAATGTTTAATTTATATATTTTTTTATTTATTTTATTATTTTATATAAAAATAATTTAATAACTTCTTACTATTAATCCCCTTACTATCAATTCTCTCACTATTAATCCCCTCACTATCAATTTCCTCGCTAACAATCCTCTCATTATTAATCTCCTCACTATCAATCTTCTCCATTCTATCTCTGAAAATAAACAGGTCTTAATGTTAATTTTATTTTTTGTCCACACAATCATCTTTGTTAACACTAATCTTCTGATCAATAAAATACTCAATCAATTCAAAAGTAGTGTGTCAAGTCTGCTATGACTTAGTTTTAATAGTCGCTCATTGTATAGGGGTTGTTTGTTTCAGCTTTTCAGAATCAATTTATGACTTTTAGCTTTGAAAAAGTTATTTTGAACTGTTTGGTTAAACTTATTTCAAACAGCTTCTGATTCTAACAGTTTATTTTAACTCAAAAAAACTGATTCTGAAAAGCTGCTCACCCCTTGCTTCTGATTATCAGCTTCTGCTGTGGACATATTAATTCATGGTTATACTCTTAGATTTTTTTATTTTTTATTTTTTTTTTTTTTAAAAATAGAAAAAGACTCAAATGGACTATAGATTATTATTATTATTTTTTATGAGAAATGTAGACAAACAAAAAATAAAAATAAATTGAAAAAACTATTTCACAGCTTATTTAACAAACACTACTTAGCAACTTAAATCTATAATCCAACAGTTACGCCAAACAGATTAATAACTCCTGATTAAAGTCATAATTTATAATCTGTTAAGCTATAATCTATAAGTTGTTTTAACAGCTACACTAAACGGGACAATATACTACTGATTTTTCCTGTTTTATGTGCATCCACTGGAGAGCTATCTCAGATCAATTCTTCTGTACATAGCTTTGGTGCAACACAAACTGGTGCTGAAAAAATAATTCGCATTGGCACTCAGACCACATGTTTATTTTTAAAAACATTGGGTGAATACGTTTAAACTTAATCTTTCGGAGTCAAAATGACATTTATCTGTTTAAATTTCATATATTTGTTTGAATGTCACATATCTAGACATGTGTCACTTATTTGTCCATCTTACTATCACAAGCCACTGCTGGTGACCTTTCTGGTCCATTTTCTGGTGCCAGTGACTTTCTTGGCATGTCTTTACTACAAAAAAATATTAATCCTTAGATCTAATGTCGTATTTCCCCATAAATATGGATTTCTCACTAATAAACCCTTATGTTTATGCAAATCTTTGAGGTGACATTTTTATTTTGTTTACAAAATATTTAAGATGACTCACTCGCATCTAAGATAGATAGAAAAAATAAGATAATTCACTTCTTTTACGCATGAAACTCACTAGTGTTTTAAGACTAAAAAAATAGCCTTCGTTTGAGATGTAGATTGGCTTTTTGGCATTTTAGCTTTTTAACTATTTTAACTTGATGTTAAAAAGTTTCGTTTGAGATGAGTTTTTTTAATTTTTGTGAGAGAAAAAATAAAATTATTATGGTTTGAATATGTCATTTTATCTTATTAGTTTTTTAGCCTATTTTATCATTTTGTAATTAAAATAGCTTAAAAAATCCTATGCCAAACATAACAACGTAATTATGAATAGCAATTTCTTACATTTTTAGTTTTTCTTAGCTGCGTGAACATCAAGTTCTTACATTTTTAGTTTTGCTTAAATGTGTAATATGAGATTTGAGATTAGGGTTTGGTTATGGTGTGCAACTTACACCTTACACCTTATACCTTACACTTACACCTTACACTTACACCTTTTGTAAAAAATTAAACCTTACACTTACACATTTTTTGAGGTTGCACACCATGTGCAACCCACTTACACCTTACACCTTACACTTACACCTTTCTTACATTTTTAGTTTTTCTTAGCTGCGTGAACATCAAGTTCTTACATTTTTAGTTTTGCTTAAATGTGTAATATGAGATTTGAGATTATTACTATCACAAAGTAACATCAAATTTAGCTTGGTTATACGACTGAGAAAGGCTTGATAATGGGCTAGGCTTGGCTTTGGCAAGGCTTTATTTTGGATTTAGATTTTTTATTTGGCTAATTGGACCGACTTGTGGGGTTTCTACGAATTTTATAATGGGACATATATTTATAATTTGAATTATTCAACTGGTAGGATTCTTCTTGAAAATCATCCACATCAAAAGAATCAGCCTAATTGGATAATAAATAGTCTATTTTTAAAATAATATTTCTTTTTCATTTTTAAATTAAAAAATGTGATGATAATGTGGCTACAGTAATTCGATCAATCTAATTTTTAATATGAATAGTTCACTCAGAAAGATATAGAATCATCGAGGTGGGTCTCATGATTGGCCCATGAAGACCCAATCCGACAATTTAAATTCACTTATTTTAATGTTATATTTGGATCTTAATTTGGTGAAGGGATATGTGCGTGGAAAAATATGAAAGAAATTTGTGTAAAATTTAAATTTCCATTTTATTTATTTATTTATTCAAATATAAAATTTGAAACGCAACCTAAAATAAGAAACAGATTATGTGAAGGAAATTGGAGCTTAAAAAGCCGACCAAAATCTTTGTGAGGATGAAGAATGCCTACCTCTACCCCTACTTTTACATTTATTAGAGTTAGCTTTTCATTCAGAATCATAATAATATGTCCATAATATGTAGATTTGTGTCTTCCACGTGAATGTGTCCATAATATGTAAATATCAAATAGTCAAAAAGGCAGTTGAATATAGGAGTATTTTTTTTAAGATTCTTAATATTATGATTTTATAGTATAAAAGGCATTAAATATTTTCATGATATCTAAGGTCTCTCAATATCAATCTAGAGAAATTCTCTCCAGGGAAAATTGAACTTCTCTCCAAAGAAATTCTCTAGATTCAAACCAGAGAAAATTAAAATTTCTTTGAGTACCAAAGAAATTTAGAGAAAATTGTGGAGAGAAAATTTGTGCATCTATTCAGGAAAATTCTCTCATCTATAAAATACATCAAACGTTTGATAGCAATGGCAAAATTTAACAAGTTCAATGACATCTCCATTGAAGTACCCAACTGCTATAACAGAATTATGACAGTTCAAAACAACAATTCTATTAAATCCAATGCATCAAGATTCAAAATAACTATTGTCCTGTATAGTTTGAATACAAAAAAGTCTTATACTTTGATTAATACTTTTGAAGCACTGAATTATCAGTTAAAATCGGTCAAAATGAATCCAGAGAAATTTGAGAAATTCTTAGGTCCTCCGCTGCATACCATTGATTAAGAATCTTAAATATCTCACGCATCTCTTGCTAAGTGGCTGCCCAGAGCTGGTTCCCTCATGTACGTACCTGGAGGAGTTGGTAGACTTGAATCCCCTTAAAAAACTGGAGGTGCTTGATCTTTCTGGTTGCATTGCTCTGACAGAACTACCCGATGACATGTTTGACCAGATGTCTTGCCTATGGAGACTTGATCTTTCTGAAACTACGATCAAATATTTGTCATCACTTTCAAATCTTAGCAACCTCCGCCACCTCTTACTGAAAAAATGGCCGGCTTGTCGATGAGATTTAGATCATGCAAATGTTGTCTCCATCGCAGGGGAGGTTGCTAGAGTACACCATTGGAGAAGAAGAGGCAGGTCGGGTCGCGGATCCAGGCAGCGTGGAGGTCTGCGACGGTGGCAGAGCGAAGGGAGGAGTCGGAGGAGAAGGTGTTGAGGAAGAGATCGTAGATGAGGGTGGAGGAGTAGAGCTTGTTGCCTTGGATTTGGAAGACAGTGGATGAGAGGAGAAGAGAGAGAGAGAGAGAGAGTAGAGTAGAGACGAAAAGTCAAATTTCTCTGATATATGTTTAGGGACCTTAGACATCAAAACATAATTTTGTGGATCTCTTCCATTACAAAAAGTGAGAAAGGGACCCTGGACTAATTTTCACTTGAGTATATAACTATAAAATAAAAATACGAGTAAATTGCACTTCCCTCACTGTTTAGGCTGACCCCTCTAAACATTTTAACTTACATAACATTTAAATTATTTTTTATCAATAATTTATTAATCGTATAAATAAAAAAAATAATTACTATTTTTGGTTTCATTTTTTTGAATTATTTTTTGAAAAAGTGATTTGAAAACTTTGTTTTGAAAATGGATATATGTTTGGTTTTCAAAAAAATGCACTATGCAATTTCAAATTTCTCTCCAAAAATTGAGAGAGAGGGCTAGATACATTGACCAATTAATTTTTTTTTTTGTCACATTTAGAAAAAGATTCTAAAAAATTGTCAAATTTGTCACATTCCAAAAATTTGTCAAATTTGCCTCCAAAAATTGAGAGAGAGGGCTAGATACATTGACCAATTAAAAAAAAAAATTGTCACATTCTGAAAAAGATTCTAAAAAGTTGTCAAATTTGTCACATTCCAAAAATTTGTCAAATTTCCCTCCAAAAGTTGTACTAAGATTCTGAATACTTTATCCCATTTTCAAAATAACCAAACAAAAACTTCAAAATTTTCAAAAAAAATGGATTTAGAAAAAGAGATTTTTTTTAGGGTCCCTGGTGTTAAGACCTTATAGTATAAAGGACATCTAATATTTTCATAATGTCTAAGGTCCCTCAATTTGATCTAGAGAAATTCTGCTTCAAAGAAATTCTTTGTTTCTCTCCAGAGAAATTTTGATTTTGTTGAAATGCCTTCAAAAGTAC